TCAAACACCTGCCCACTAAGAGTTATCACTTATCATTACTGTGGATCCTGGATTGGTCCTTAATACCTCAGTTGCATATGACCTCAATACTGTAAACTGTTCTTCGATAGTGCCGTTAATCAATTGCTTCGCATATCTTCTCATCGTCCAAGCAACATTTCTAGTGATATTTATCTTCAAGTCCTCCTTCAAAGTTGCTTGCATACTTTTGGTTTTTCGCTCTAAGTCCGCCTTGAACTGCTCAATGTATTGATGGACTATGAAAATGTAGTTACAATGACGATTGTACTGATCCTTAGTGCATGTGTGTTGAGGAGTATATGACTTCACTTGAACGATTTCTGAATTATTCATCTTCAAAGCCCATATTCTCCATGTACACCCTGATTTACAGATGCCTTGAACTCTGCTTTCGTCATTCGCCTTACACTTTACATTATATCCATTTACTACACCGTAAGTTCGATTCGTTTTCTTACATTCTTGTACAGAACTAAACAACTAACCCACCTAAAACTTTGGATTGCGCATATTTGTTTCAACCATAAACTCGGGAAATCGATACCTAACCTCGGGAAATCGATACCTAACCCCATCTTCTGATGAGATATCAGACAATAGTTCTTCATATGATGGATATTCAAGATCATCGGCCTCATGGTATTCATCATGTCCTACTATTGCATGATCCTCTTCGTCTCACTCGGTTGTTCTTCCATCACAACCTAATTCAATTCCCTCTGTGACATTTTTGTCGAATAGCATATCGTCTTCACCCGACCATATGTCGTTATCGAAATCATTGAAGTCAGTGTTATCCTCCGTATCTATCATATCAATAAGAAATTGAAAACGATCAGCAACAATTTTGTATGTACTTTGCTATATTTGTTTTACTAAACCAATATTTATGGATAATACCCATATCAAATAAATCAAGCACAAGAAAATTAAGTCATCGCATTGTTGATAATGAGGTTTCCCCATAACTACGATGCAATTATACTAAATGATATACAATAATAATATGAACCATAGAAAACTAGCAAATGAAATATATTATTTAACAGACAACTACAACAAGATTCGTGCAGTATAGAGGAAAAAAGAAGAAACCAAAGAGAAAAAGAAACCACCAAAATCGTGCAATTAGGTGCCTATTTTTAAAATATTCACACAATCATTCCATGTATAGAAAAGATGAAAATGAGGAGACCATAAATAAATTATAGGATTTACCTTGAATTTCTCCCTCCATGTGCGCTTCTTGAAAAACCCAATATTCGTGGTCGGGTCGTGGACTTCAACGTCAATGGATCTTTGGTTAGGGTTCACCTTCAACCGTACAATTGTTCAATCTTTTTGGGAGAGTAAGGTTCTAGATCGTGATTTCACTATTGAAATGGGTAAGTCGTGTTTGGTATTAGTGACTTGGCAATTCATTTTTAAGATGGACCAATTTAATGGCCAAATGTGCAAATTGTTATCCACATAGGAGATTGGTCTAGACGGAAGTTACCTGGTGAGTGATGGAGTGCAACTTTTCAAAATTTAATAAGTAATGAGGTGCAAACTAAAGTTCAGTGAGTGAACATGACGTTAATTAAAGTTGAGTGTGCATTCAAACAATTAACACGAAAAGAAGACTACATGTATTGTAGAGTGAAAATTGCCTTTAAAAACCTAAAACAATCCCAAAAACAGAAGATGGACAATGAAAAATATAAGTGATGCTACCAAAAATCGTACATGTTGGCTTCCTAACTTGACGACTAAGAATGAGCACGAATGAGATCTTTCGGTACCTGAAACAAAGGTGTCGATGTGTGTCCTCGTCACCCTTCCATTGCTTAAGTCGGAGAGAAAATTTGTGAAAAGATAAGTACTGAAAATTATATGAAAACATACATTAATAATGAATTGAAATGATATATTTATAGAGGTTGGTGACACAGTCCTAGTAGGATCACAATGTTGACATCCCTAGGAGTTCCAACATGATTGGAAGTTTTTACTTGATTGGTTTCGTATTATCGACGTGTTTGGATAAAAGTGGAATTCTGGTGGTAGAATCATTTTAGGATGAAGTAACATACCAACACTAGGACTTTCTTTCTTTTAGGTTTGGATAAGCCTTTATACGGGGGAGAGTCTCATTGAGTCGAATGCTGCATGGTACTAGGTTTAGTCATAATCTCGAGGAAAGCACAATGGCCGAGGAGTAATTCCCGATGAGTCATACCCGAGGAAGAAAACGTAATGGTGACACAAGTTGGAAAAATATATCCTCCGGCTAAACTAATATTGAGATCATCAATAAGGAACACAAAAAAAATTAACCAAAGTGCGTTGATGCAATGCAGAACAAATATAAGCAATGCTTTTGTCCGGTTAAGCCTTGAATTTGTATTTGACAATGGGAAGATTACATAAATAAGGCTTTTACTTTTACCCATTTCAAAAATATCAAAACATGTTTTAAATTTCAAAAATCAGGTTTCTTTAAATTTTTAATTAT